GGGACAGTGCAGGGTGAGCAGGGCCACTGACCCCCAAGACCAGACCACCCATCAGCCCACCGCCGAGAGCCGAGCTGCTGCCTGTAGCAGAACTAGACACAGAGAGAAAGGCCTGGAGGCTAGTGAGTGGGAAATGTTGGGGACAACATAGGGACTGCATGTGGACAAAATTGGGACAGTGTGGCAACAGCATGGGGACAGTGTGGGGGACAGTATAGGGACAATGTGGGGACAGTGTGTGGACAGCACACAGACAATGTGGGGACAGTGTGGGGGACCGCATGGGAAAAGAGTAGGGGCATCATGGGTACAATGTGTGGCGGGAGTGAGAACATTATGGGGACTGTGTGCGGAAAGATTGGGGACGGTGTGTGGACAGTGTGGGGATACTGTGGGGACTTTGCTGGGGACAGCATGAAGACAGTGTGGGGACACTGTGGAGGGAGAGTGAGGACAGTGTGGGGACAAAGGGAGACAAATGGGGACATTGGGGGGAACTCTATGAAGTGCAGTGTGCAGACTGTGTGGGGACAGAGTGGGAGCGATGTTGGGGACAGAGCGGGAGACAGCATAGGGCCAGCGTGGGGACAGCGTGGCCCACCTTGAAGACCGTGACGGTGGCGCTGTAGCACACGCTGAGCAGGAAGAGTGTGATGAAGATGGTGATGGTCGTCCACAGCCCGTCCAGCTCTCCGTCCTGGGCCTCGGCACAGCTCTCGTCTGGTTGCAGCGCTGGACAGGGAGGGGGTGGTCAGTGCTGTGTCCTCCCCCGTGGGGACTCTGGGGGCGGCTCTGTCTGTGGCAGGGCAGGGGCATGGTGGGAGGCCCAGGAGGAAGGGACCCCCTGGGCTGGGCCACAGCACCCTGAGGTCAGCTCTCCTTGGCCGTCCCCTCTGGGCACCAGCCTCAGCTCCTCCAACTCCTTCAGCTTGAGTCTCCGGGACCTGCCAGACACCCCTGGCCATGGATGGTGGCCTGGCCAGCCTTGAGGTCCACTCCCTCTCTCCACACCCTGGCACTGAGGCTGGCAAGGGCAGCGTAAAGACTTCTTCCCCCTGCAGGGCAGTGGCTCTGCAGTGGCCTCCCCTGGTGACCTGGCACAGAGGGCAGAGCACGTCCTAGGATGACCCTGGTGTAGGGAAGGGCACTACTGGAAAAGGGGCCATGGTCAGGGCAGGGACAGTGCTGTGTCCCTGTGTGTGAGGGTCAGTGTGGGTGTGGGGACTTGTGTGCGTTGGATTGGGTGTAGGTGCCTCCTCGTAAGAGCGGGGCTGCGTGTGTCTGAGCTGGG